GGGCCGGGCCCGGCAGCGGCCCGGTAACCCCCGGTAACTTCTCGTGCGGTCACAGCCGTCCGGGAAGGGTCCCGGGCTGAGCGCGATCTGTCAGCGAGCTGCTGGCACGGCCCCTGCTCCTGCCCCGGCTGCAGATGCCGCGCAGCCTGGTGCACAGAGTGCTGTGCGGAGCATGGAAGCGGAATGAAGTGATGTGTTTACAGAAATTATTTCCTACTGAAGCAAGCTTTCATTACCACCCAAATTCTTACAGCCCACCAATAATTTTTGTTCTAATCGAGCTACAAAGCAAGTTCAAGTCTTCTGTAAACATGCTTTCCTTCGGTGACATGTCAGTCAATTCAGCTTTTCAAAGTGCTAAAATACCATGGTGGGTAGCTTAAGCAGCCTAATAATGACATTAATTATTCTTACGCAATTATTTTTATGATGCCCGTTATGTGTGGATTTCAAAGCATTTTATGCAAGAAAATACGATTATTAAGACTGCACAGTCAATCAAAAGGGGAGAAAAAGATTGACTTGCACAAATTCACACAACAGGTTTCTGCTTGCTTCCAGTCTATGACTCTTCCCTTTTGGATTATACAAGAATGTTTTAATGACGATCAACTTGAACAATGTGCATTACAAGAGTAGCTGAAGCACCAGAAAAGGTTGCCCAAAGAGGTTGTGAGAATTTCATCCCGGAAGATCTTCAGCACTTGACAAGGCACTGAGCAACTTGACTAAATTTGAAGTGAGCCCTGCTCCGAGGAGAAGATGAGGTTATGGACTCCAGAGGTCCTCTCCAACCTAAATTATACCTAAGATGAGGTAAATGGTCAGTATTGTGATATTCTGACTTGTATCAAGTAAAGATTTACACCTTACATATTTTCTCCACTTGAAATATATTTAGGCCAGAATAACACAGATTACTAACGCTGATTCAGTCAATAGATGCAAGAGCAGCTTGTCTAGACTAGCTTTTGAGCCCTTGGAAAAATACTTCGTAGAGTGCGTAACAGACCAAAATCTCCCTGTTGTGCCTACCGCTCCATGGTAGTCCTTTTGGCTCATATTCTGCAAATACATATGCCAATATTTAACTATGCTGCTTTGAATAGCTCAATTCAAAGACATCTTTTATAGATGCTTGAATATTTTAATAATATAAAAAGCAAAGTGCAACAGCTGAAAATATTATAAGACCTATTTATTATATCATTGGCATCATCTTTACTGCAAGTCTTTCAGGTTTTGGTTATCTTGCTTGTTTTTAAGCATTTAAGCGACATCATAGTGAAAACCTAGTGCTAATAAGATAACTAAACTGTTTCCATAATAAATACTGTCAATTAATCATTCCTTTATCAGAATAGATAAAAGAATACAAATTAAATACTAAAGCTATCACTGAAAAATCAAGTTACTAAGGCTTTCATTACAGCTTTCTATAAAAATTGTGTAATTAGCAGAAATGGTGGTTCTGCTCACTTACTTGAATAATACATCAAAGAATGTCCAACTGTAAACAGAAGCCAAATTTTATCAGTACCTGCATTCGACTTAGTTGAGCACTGAAGTATTTTATGTAGGTCCAGGAACGTTACCCCAGTCATTAGTATCAGTCAAGAAATACTGCAGCTGAAGCACGCACTAAATCTTCTACCCAGAAGTTCTGAGATTTCCACAGGCTTTCTATTTCAATTCACTTGCTGTGCCGATGTAAGATTTGCCTACTATATGCAGCAGTGTTTAACCATGCATTTGGTGTTTTCTGTTACAGGTATATTTTTCTGCACATACAGCACATTAAACACATGACAAAATATTTCGCCTGCTTTGAACATTTCACTGATTAAGAGGAAACAAATTCAGACACAACATTAACACTTACCAGCTTCTGACATAAAATACTCATTTTAGCAATACAGCCTTTTCTTACAAATGGTATAAAGCAAACTATAAAAAGATTCAAACAGAAAGCCAAATCGAATGTTACATAAATCAAACGTTCAAGAAGGTTAAATTAAAAAAAACACTTAAGTTTTACTGATAAAGATTTTGTTAGCTATGTTGGCATTATTTAAAAAAAAAAAAGCTTATCAAATTACATGTAATTTAAATTTACAAAGCATAACAACTCTGTCAGTGAATGTTATCACCGAAAAACATGAGTCCAAGCCAATCTAAAGTCTCTCGGGGCTCGCATTGTTATGACAATACCTCAACTGTTAATGTTGTTCTTCAACATTCTGCACCAAAATCCAAAATACTCTTGAAAGATGTTATTGATGATCTTTGTTTTTTTCTTGCCTCTATAAAACGGAGATAAAAGAGAAAATATGAAGACAAACGTTGACACAAAACGCTGCACAACTTTAGAAAACGTTTCAGTAGGAAAACACTTGCCACTAAGCGCTCCCACACATACGCCAAGCACAGCAGAAACGCTATCTACTCCATCCATAGATACTCCATCGGTACTACATATAGGGCTACAGCTTGATATATCCTCACTAGATAAAGAGGAGGGGGCCAAGGGGTCTCTCTGTAAGGAGCGTACCTATCAAACACGGTGAAAACCGCCAGAGAGATTTTCACAAACCATCATCAGAAGAGAGACCGAACAGAGAAAATGTCAACTTCCCAATAAACATAGCAATTAATTTGGAGTCCTTAACCGAAACTCTTATCCTCTTTGTATCCTGTCCGGTGGCACTGGAAGGTTCAAAGGCTCTCTAATATTTTCCCAGTTCAGTTCTCTCTCTCCAAGCACAAGCCCTGATCGAATTACACTGGAGACCATTCTAATGCTTAGCGTGCACAGCATTGAACTGACACAAAGCACAATCCCATGGGTTGCAAATTCTGATAGCCTGTCCTTTTTCTGCAAGTCAATTCAGGGTCAAAAGCTGAAAACTGAGCTGACAGCATATATGATTAGTAGAAAATTAAATTATGATTACTTGCAACTGTAACCTGTAGTATTTCTTGGAAAGATCAACACCTGTCCGTCCTTTCTGAAATGGATAAGACCACAAAATTAAATTCCAGTGATTACCCATTTTTCTTACTCCACTCAAAAGACAGTTAATTTCTTCAGTCGTGAAATCTTTTCGGGTTCTTCTTCTCTTGTTTAAACTTCTTGTGTTAATGCCCAAGGAACATATTTCATTGTTCTGCAAATATTTATTTTGGTGTAATTAAAAATTATGTAAATTTACATACTATTTCACATCTGGAAGTAATGCATTATTACTGACAATACAATCTTAAGTAGTTCTAAAGAAATGATCACTTTGTTAAGATAACAACGGCTCTTCAAGGCTTCTTCACTGTCACCCACTTACTGAAATACAGTATTTTTCCATGACCTTTACCTTCATTTCTGTCATGCCTACATAGCTTATACCTTTAGTAGGTTGATTCCTTCAGGTTTCTGTTATTTCTATATTACGCAAATTTTCGTTAGTGCAGGAAAAAGCATACCTCCATATCCATTATTCAGAAAGGTCAGCTGAAAAATGCTTAACTCATTTCAGGGATAAATCAGTACGACTGGAGTAGAATCAACAGAGAGGAATATCATTTTATACTGGGCTCCTGTTAAAGGTAACTTAAAAAGAAATTATGCAATTCATAGTGATTTTATTTGGACATTTATAAATATGTGAGTGTATGATTAGGCTTTGCATAACTAACCTCATCTTTGTCAAGTGAATATATGCAATTTTCTTTTAAGTGCTGACATTGCTGATTGCACATTTCTTTGATTCTTTGTCTCTTCAAGTTAGCATCTTGGTTTTTTTGGAAAGCTATGAAATTGTGAACAAGGCCACCTCTTAGGTACTTTAACTGAAATCTACTGTAAAACTGAATATAGTTTTGTAAAGGAACATTTCTCCTATGAACTTGAGTATGAAAATGTTGCTTTATTAGTAATATCTCATTTTCATTAGATCTTTTTCTCATCATTGACATTAACACATAAGGATTATTTATGCATTGGAAGCTACTAGCAAATAATAGGGATTAACTCAAACACCAATAATACTACGATTGAAGGTACAAGAACATATCGAAATTCTTAACCATTTGTCTCTAATAGCAAGCACAGGTGCTTTTCTTAATACCCTGACCTAAACGCAAAACTCGATCTTTAAGTTATGCTTATTACAGAATTAACCTTCCAGTAATACTCACACTTTTCATACGTAGGTATCAAGTTATAGTCATCAGTCAACCTAGTATTTTTACTATGTTCGTCTCTATTTGAAGTGTCAGATTTGTTTTTTCTAATTGGGGTCAAAAGAATACCTTAAAAAAACAAACAATAAAACATTATGCATCTTTCTTAAAAAAACAGAAAACACAGGTAAGGTTTTAGGAATTAAAATTTAAGAGAGAACCATCTTCTGAGCCATACTATCTGGTCTTGGAAGAAAGACTGGAAAATTCAGTTTACTTCCAAAAATGTTTACTTGCTAAAGGTGATATATTAGTGTAATGGGCTCTTGAGATGAAATAAAGTTTGTTTGTTTTTGGGTTTTTTTTTTTTAATTTTAAAAGACCTCCACGGCTATCATAGCCAAATTAATTAATTTCTGAATCTGAAGGGGAGGAAAAAGTAAAAAATAATAGTAATTTAAAAAAAAAAATTATTAGCTTTTACCAGAAATAAATTAAATAAAATAACAATGTAAACAAGTTTTTGGAAATAGGAGACTAAAAATAAATTCCCAATGGGTGGGCTGATTTTTGAAAAGAGAATGGTTTTTAAAATAATATTAGTGCTTTAGAATTTAAGTACGGATTTAGAGACCTGCTTCAGCCTACTTTAAAATTTCTGGTCATCAATCATAAGAAACTGTATTGGTTACTAGCTGATGAATGTAGTGATGTATGACTGTAGTTGGAGCTCTGCAGGATGTACCCACAAACACCACATTCTGAAGAAAATTCCTTGTGAATTATGTAAAATATATATATGCAAAGTAAGGAAAAAATTATAACCATTAACTTTTTTGCTACATTACAGAATAGACTACTGTAAAAGATACGTACTCTGCTAGTTACAAATGGACAGTTGTTGTGTATTATAAAGAATACCAGTTTTTATGGGCAACGGATGGTCCTGTAAACATAGGGTTCCTAAACTGCACTGCAGAAACTGATGGAACTTATATTCACTTTTCCATCTCTACCTTGTAATAAGATCTTATTCAACACCTCATAATACAGGACAGGTAAATAGATCTCCTGTACTTAATTTTCTGATTGGTTTTCAGTTTACTTGCTCTAGTATTGTTGTATACGTTAAGGTTTACCCTTTTAGCTATTTAGCACACAGAGACCCAAGTCCTTAGCAGAGCTCCAAGCAGGAACAGAAACAGGTGTAATAGGATCACATGGCTATAACTGTACAACAGAGTGATGCTGAATCCAGGAACAGGCAACGTACTGTGTTCTGATCCTGACTATACCTCTCCATTTTAAAAATTAATGCCACAAAACTGAAAAATAGCAGATGGCATGGAAGTAACCCTGACAGGAGTCAAAGCAGTATCTACAAAGCAAGTGCCAGATAACTTCGTTGTGAACTAGTGTACCTAACACAATTTCATTATTACAGAATATACATTTTCTGGCCTATTAATATACAGATTTTTCACAGAATCCACAGAAGAAAAAAAAAAACACAATTCCCTATCCACAGCCTCCCATGGTAAAGTCCTGCAAAAGAATTACTTAGACAGTAAGGGCTTTTTGCATTGATTTCCAAACCAAGCCCTTACTTTGGAAACTATCCTTTTTGCTCCTGGAAGTTGGTATTTCTGTATGCAGTCTTTCTTTCTTCACTGGGGTCAGCAGTATTTCTGGAAAATATAAGATGGACACCAGTACAAATGCCAGTAAGTAGTAACTGTTTAATTTTCAAAATGCCTCCTTTAAACCAGAAAAAAATATAGGATACACTTTTATTTAATTCATAAAGAATTATAAGCTTCTTACATCCATAAGTATGTAATATTAGAATGACATGACCTTGTTATGATGTCATACATCCATTCACACTTATTTCAACTTCATATATCCCCTTCTATTAGTACTTGACTAACTTTGGCAAACAGGGCAGAGTCTCATCAAAGCCTATAATGAGGATATACCACTACTGCCAAGAAATACACAAGATCCTCAAAACAGAAGAGGCTAGTTCTGATCTCACTTAGTATAAATCATTGGTAAATCAAATTAAATGAGTGAATTTACAAGAGCAGGACAATCAGAATCAGACCAAAAAAGTTCAGAATTTTGAATACAATTTAAAACAAGTTAAACTACTAAAAAAGGTCATAATTACTCTCATTAGTTGCATATCTACTGTTGTTACAAACAGCCAATTTGCAAAGTTCCTTTTTGTATCTTTCTTCAGCTTCCAGAATGACTTTGTGACGGTCACACTGGTATGGACAATTTTGCAACATCTTAGTAAAGGTTTTACTATTGAAAGACAGTCCTCCTGCTGTACAACCTGGAAAAAAAAAAGGGATATTGTAGAAACAGCAAGCACGAATGCTATAGAAGCCATCACAAAGTCCAGCATTTTATTTTGTTCAGTATGATCTACAATTTGACCTCCAATTTTCCATATACACATCTCAATAGAGGTTACACTTACATGTATCTTCTTGAAAATACTTTTTGTTTTGTACTTGCTCTCTTAAAAAAAATTTAAAAAGTGTTTTCAGCATGACCTATGGAACAAAGTTATACCGCACTTCAACTCCAGAAGTATGAAATGAGGCACGGATCCTCTACAGAAGTAAAAATATTAGTGGGATGGGAAGAAAGGGGCCTCAGTTCGCTTTGCACATTTATCCAGGAGCCAAAATATAAAAGATGTCTTTGCTATACTTTGAAGCAAGTTATCTGTATTAACCTGAATAAATAAGTCTAGCTTAGGTATGAATTTCCTCACAGGAAGCCTTCCTGTTAATTTTTGAGGATATTCCTAGCGTAATTCATGGTTTAGTTATTCTTGGATGTTATCACAGTTCCTTATGTCAGCTGAAGGAGAACTTCTGCACTGCGAGGAATTATAAGAAGGGCACTAGTACATACCTGCAATATTCTAGCCTAAGATAAAGCAGTGCTAAAGCTCAGGTTGAATTTAGTTTGACAAATTGGGTTCATATGCCTAAATAATGTTCAAAGGTGGGCTACGGGCTTTTTTTTTTTTTTTTTTTTGGCTTTGGGGGGGGAGGGGTGTTTTTAATAAAGAGACACAGGCTTGATTACAAAATCCACTTACAAATCCTGAGTACCAGCAGCATTCTTACAACCAACAGAGACCATGTTCAGGAAGTAGAAGATGGGGTAACTGAGGGCTGCAATCATGGATTACTATAAAACTGACTGCCTGTACTTAATAGCAGTAAGGCAGAGAAAACAGAAGGGCTGCAGAATAGTTAGGAGGCTTTAGCAGGGGAATACATGAGGGAACTGAGCAGAGCTACATGTTTTTCCTCCCTCTTTCTGATCAGAGAAAGGAGGAAAACACCTGCTATTAAGCAGTCTTCTAAGTAGTGTGTCATCTTTTAAGCTGTTGTATATTCTGTTAGTAAACCCACATTAAGAAAAGATACATAGACTGAAACTGGAATATGTAAGCTTTATTTCAATATTTGTGTTTTATTTTAGGGGCAGAAAAAGGAAAGGAAGCCATTAAGAATTACATAATAGGTAATCAAATAGATGTGTTAAAATTTCTGTAATGTCAGTTCACTTACTGCATTGGTAAATCTTTAAGGCTTCTTTTATGGACTCAGGAAAGAAAGACCTAAAGATAATATTTACCTGAACACCTTAAATTTGCCATTTTATGGGATGCAGATGTAGGTGAAGTACTTTTTTCTTCCTTGGTTATCTCTGAGTAGAATGAATGTTGATCTAAATTAGGAAGGAAAAAAAGCACTAAGAAAATGCAACCTATCCTTTGCCGTGGTAATCATGCATCAGCATACCTATATTCAATTGTATTTTCTATTTGTAGATTATTAAAGTTTAATTTACATAACAGCAGAAAATCCAAATGGAATTCCTGAAGTTAAATGGATCGCATTTACATTTTTGTAAATCCACAATAATTACATTTAAATATCAGGCCTTTTTCATCACTCTCCCAAAGCACATTACTTCAACTTGAACACAGCAAAATAACCTTGTGAACTTACATTGCTTAACTAAGCCCTATAAACTCTATTTCTATTTGGAATCAGATGCTGAAAAATGTGATGTACTGAAATAATACTTACTCTCCATTTAAATATGTATAACCTGGAGATCAGCTTGGTGACCTGTAAAGCTACCATTCTGGCAAATACTAATCTAATGAATAATTATAGATTTTATAAATTAACAGGAAACTAAATTATACGTGAAGATTTGATTGAACAGATCCCAATTCTGAAATAAATCTATCAGACTAAGATGAACAATGCAAATCTTAAACACATGTTCAACATGTAGGAATAGCTTCAGGCAAAAGCCACTCTCACAGGTAGGTTCTATCCCCAGTCTTACAAGTACAGAACAAAACCAGAATCCTTACGCATTTTCTATTAATGGCTTTCGTTGTTCAGTACGGATTGCATTCAAACTAAACTTAAAACATTTATCTATGATACATTCATTTGAATAGTTAAAATCAATTAAAAAAAGAAAGCTAAAATATGTATTAGAAGAAAAGTAGAATAAATATTCTCCTGGTAAAATTGTATACAATATAAAATTCCAAAACTATGCAAACAGTTAAACGATATTATACATAGTGTACTCTGTCATCTAATCGTATATAACACCTGATAAAAAGTAGTGATAAAACTACACAAAACTAATTAAAATCTCATTAAGAACAAAATTATTTAAGAAAGGAATACGTTTAGCTATTTGTACCTGATGTGCATGTTTGTTTCATATTTTTAACAGTCGCTGCTGGTTGTTTAAATAAGTGGTCACTGGGAAGATCAAAATGTGAACAAATTAAAAAAAAAATCAAACTTCACAACACACATTCACCTGTAAATTAATACATGCATTCCAAAGGCAAAACAAAAAACACATTAAATATATAAAAGATAAAACTCTAAAAAATTGATTCTATTTATCAAGTTACTGTGCTTGCAGTATACAGCATATAACCTTTGTGTGTTAGAAATCTGTTACCAGAGATCTGTGATTAGCATTCCTTGCAGTGCTGTTGAGCACGTCTGTTCCAGCATGCTGGTTTCCAGAGTCACTTGCAATTCTGGTTCACATAAAGATTACTTAGTGCACATAGAACTTCCACAAAGTCTTCAAAATACTGTAGCCTTCACCAGATGTAGCAATTGCTCTAAAGGGTGATTGATTTTCTTCTTTTCTTACACTGATTAACTTCTATGCAACCAACATGCTCCTATGATATGGGGATCGTGAATTTTTCTATGTCATTGACTACCTCCGAATGCTGCAGGAGCAAGGAGCCTAATCCATGATTATGCTTGGGTAACTCCTGTTTTCACACAAATACAAGGAGAGAGTTTTCCCCCCCCAAAAAAAAATTAATTTCTTAATAGTTCTGACCACTGAGGCACAAAACAACAAATAAAGCAGCTGTGCAAAATTATGCTAATCAGTAGCAAAGCAAAATTTACCTGAATGTACTATGGAAAATATCCTAGGCTCCCGATAATTCCTGTGGTAGTTGCAAAGTTACAATATAATGCATGCAAGGAAACTGCATAGGAGCAGGGTCCAGCCAGCCACGTAAAAAAAGCACAATAAAAATGCAGAACTCAAAAAAAGGAGAAACGTAGTTTTGTTCATACTCTCTCATTGCCTGTCTTGAGGGATATTCCGGATATAAATTCAAGATAATGCTTGCAAGTTGCCTATAATTAATTTTTTGTTCATCAATAGGAAAGATAACCATAAGAAGCAAAAGAAAAAGAGGAAAATAAGCATTTGTGTGAGCAAAAGAACAGTGAAAAACTAAACAAGGCCATATCTTTCTCTTCCCATGTAGAGAAGCAATTGAATACGAGGGGAGAAAAGCAGAGGTGGGGTGAGGGGGGAGCTTTTTTCCCTAGTTTGTAGGCATTCCAATTTCAATTTTTTGCAGAGCAGTTCTGTAACTGCTGTTTTCCTAGTAAGTGCATATTATGGAAGTCTTTGTGGTTTCATCCAAACCAATGGGTCAAATCTTGATCTACTCAATCAGTGAGAATTTTGAGGCAAAAACTGTGGATGCTTTTTCATCACTATGTTGAAGGCATTAGAACATGGCCTGTAACAGGCTCTCTATACAACCCGTCAGAAGCCTACCATTCAGAGAAAAAGATCAGAAGCTTTTATTACTACAATGTCTATAATCTTTGATCTGTGATGTCAAAAACACTTCCACAGAATATTCTCTAGTGAGCCACCAAAAGGCTATATCTTTTCACTAGGAGGAAAAGCCATAGTTAGTAACAGATAATTTAAAAGGCTGACATTCAATTTGGAAATCACTAAAGAAAAGCGACTTAGTATTTCTGCTTAGGTCTCTTACCTTACTTGAAGAATAGACTGATTTTTTACACAAGCAGTTTTTTCATTTATACTGTGACGTTGAAGTACACTGTCTGTTTGCAGTTCATTAACTGAACATGGAATATTAGTCTGTCCACTTTGTCTAGTAGAAGCATTTACTGGATCCGTAGCGTTCACTATTTCATTTTTCAGCGGAGAAGAATTTACAGATGGAGCAAGAACCTGATCATCCAACTTAAAGGTCAACTGTGGACAATGTATTTCTTTATGTGTTCTTTTGATAGAAGTTTTTGGATCAGCAGGATTCACTTCATGGTATTTTGATGCTTCAATATTGGCTTCTGAAGATCTGTCTACAAATACTCTT